ACATGTGCCATGGTGGTTTGCTGCACCCATCCACCCATCTTCTGGGTTTTAAGCCCTGCATGCATTAGGTACTTGTCCTAATGCTGTCCCTTCCCCAGCCCCCCAACCCCCAACAGGCCCTGCTGTGTGATGTTCCCCTCCCTGTGTCTATGTGTTCTCGTTGTTCAACTCCCACTTATGACCTGTGGTGTTTGGTTTTCTGTTCTTGTGTTAGTTTTCTGAGAATGATGGTTTCCACCTTCATCCATGTCCCTGCAAAGGACATGAACTCATTCTTTTTTATGGTTGCATAGTATTCCATGGTGTATATGTGCCACATTTTCTTTATCCAGTCTATCATTGATGAGCATTTGGTTGGTTTTAAGTCTTTGCTATTGTGAATAGTGCTGCAGTAAACATATGTGTGCATGTCTTTATGGTAGAATGATTTTAATCCTTTGGGTATATACCCAGTAAGGGGATTGCTGGGTCAAATGGTATTTCTATTTCTAGGTCCTTGAGGAGTCACCACATTGTCTTCCACAGTGGTTGAACTAATTTATACTCCCACCAATAGTGTAAAAGTGTTCCTATTTCTCGATATCCTTTGCAACATCTGTTGTTTCCTGACTTTTTAAGGAACACCATTGTAACTGGTGTGAGATGGTATCTCATTGTGGTTTTAATTTGCATTTCTCTAATTACCAGTAATGAGCTTTTTTCTCATATGTTTTTTCTCATTTATGTTGGCTGCATAAATGTCTTCTTTTGATAAATGTCTGTTCATATCCTTTGCCCACTTTTTGATGGGGTGGTTTGTTTTTTTCTTGTAAATTTGTTTAAATTCTGTGTAAATTCTGGATATTAGACCTTTGTCAGATGGATAGATAGCAAAAATTTTCTCCCATTCTGTAGATTGCCTGTTCACTCTAATGATAGCTTCTTTTGCTATGCAGAGCTCTTTAGTTTACTTAGATCCCATTTGTCAATTTTGGCTTTTGTTGCATTGCTTTTGGTGTTTTAGTTATGAAGTCTTTGCCTATGCCTATGTCCTGAATGGTATTGCCTAGGTTTTCTAGGGTTTTTATGGTTTTAGGTGTTATGTTTAAGACTTTAATCCATCTTGAGTTAATTTTTGTATAAGTTATAAGGAAGAGTTTCAGTTTCTATTTTCTGCATGTGGCTAGCCTGTTTTCCCAGCACCATTTATTAGGGAATCCTTCCCCATTGCTTGTTTTTGTCAGGTTTATTGATTATCAGATGGTTGTAGATGTGTGGTGTTATTTCTGAGGACTCTGTTCTGTTCCATTGGTCTATGTTCTTTTTGTTCTTTTTGCTTAGGATTGTGTTGGCTATATGGGCTCTTTTTGGTTCCATGTGAAATTTAAAGTAGCTTTTTCTAATTCTGTGAAGAAAGTCAATGGTAGCTTGATGGGAATAGCATGGAATCTATTAATTACTTTAGGCAGTAGGCACATGTTGTTTCATCTGCCTGTCTCACCTCTCCCCACTGGTTACCTGGTCGAAATCCAGGTCAGTCAGCACCTACTCAGTAAAGCTTTCTATTTTCCCTGTCAGTATCTCCCAATTAGTTACTGACTCCTTAGTGCTACCTCTGAATCTTTTACATTTTAATAAGGGTATAATTTTAAATTTTATTCGCTATTAGATTTTGAGCTCTTTAAAGATACCATTTGGGTCTTACTCATCTTTTTTTTTTTTT